GATAAAAAGGCACAGTGCAGAAGATGCGGTGACACGAAAGGACACAGTATGCAGCAATGCCCTGCTAGAGAAGCAGCCTGCAATTATTGTGGGAAAAAGGGACATTTTGCTAGGGTCTGCAGAAATAAAAAAATATGTGAAGTGAATGCTGGGTTTGCCACAGAAAGCACAGAGACAAATAATGATGTTGCTTTCCTGGGATCACTTTCTGCAGAAGTTAAAGACAATCCATGGATGACGGACATTCTGGTGGACAAACATAAGACTGTATTTAAAATTGACACAGGAGCTGATGTCACTGCTGTCCCAGAAACACTGTATTCTCAGCGCCAATTTGGTAAGTTAGAGAAACCAAAGAAAATCCTGCAGGGACCAGGAGGTACTGGATTAAAGGTGAAAGGCATGTTTACAGCAACACTCAGCAACAACAGTGTTAGTACTGAGGAGGACATTTATGTTGTGAAGGATTTATGTACATCATTGCTGAGTGGGCGTGCTGCAATGGCATTAAAATTAGTTGCCAGGGTGAACCAAATAAGTTTGGACTCCATTGATGCTGTGAAGCAGGAGTTTCCTAAACTTTTCAGAGGACTAGGACTGATGGAGGGCGAGTATAACATTGTTCTGTCACCTGATGCGCAGCCTTTCTCCCTCTCAACGCCGAGGCGCATATCCCTCCCCCTACTGCCGAAGGTTAAAGAGGAGCTCAACCGTATGCAGCAGGAAGGGGTCATCACCAAAGTGGAGGAGCCAACAGACTGGTGTGCACCTATGGTGGTTGTCCCTAAGAGCTCTGGCAAGGTGAGGATATGCATTGATCTCACAGAACTGAATAAATATGTCATGAGAGAAAAACACCCACTGCCATCAGTTGAGCACACGCTCGGACAGCTAGCAGGAGCAAAAGTGTTCTCCAAATTGGATGCCAATGCTGGATTCTGGCAGATTCCACTGTCAAGGGAGTCTTCCCTGCTCACCACCTTCATTACACCTTTTGGGCGCTATTGCTACAATCGGCTCTGCTTTGGGATTTCATCAGCACCAGAGCACTTCCAGAAACGCATGACACGGATTCTAGAGGGCCTGGATGGAGTCCTTTGTCAGATGGATGATGTCCTCATCTGGGGGACGACACAGCAGGAGCACGATGAAAGACTGAGGAAGGCACTGTTTCGACTCCAGGAAGCGAAAGTAACACTGAATGACAAATGTGAGTTTTCTAAACGCAGCATAAAGTTCTTGGGACAAATTATTGATGCATCAGGAGTGAGTCCAGACCCTGATAAAGTGAGTGCTATAAGAGCCATGGAGGAGCCCAAAAATATAAGCGAGGTGAGACGCTTCCTGGGTATGGTGAACCATCTTGGGGAAGTTCCTCCCACACCTGGCAGAGAAAACCCGACCGTTGAGAGATCTTCTGAAGAAGTCAAACATGTGGTTATGGGGTCCACCACAGCAACGAGCTTTCGACGCCATTAAAACAGATCTGACGACACCACCAGGACTAGCGTTGTATGACCCGAATGCAGAGACATGCGTTTCAGCAGATGCATCATCGTATGGACTCGGTGCAGTTCTTCTCCAGAAACACCCTGATACAGGATGGAGGCCAGTGGCATATGCATCACGGTCTCTCAGCGAGACAGAGCAGAGGTATGCTCAGATTGAGAAAGAGGCTCTCGCTTCAACATGGGCCTGTGAGAGGTTCGCAGAGTTTCTGATCGGGAAGAGGTTCCACATTGAAACCGATCATAAGCCGTTAGTCCCGCTGCTGGGGTCGAAGAGTCTAAATGAGCTTCCTCCTCGCATACAGCGACTGCGAATGAGACTAATGAGATTTTCCTACAGTATTTCCCATGTGGCTGGCAAAAATATCGCTACAGCTGATGTCTTGTCTAGAGCTCCAATCCTCAACGAGTTGGGAGGACTGCAAGAAGAGGAGGTCAACTTGTACGTTGACTCAGTCGTTGCATGTTTACCTGCCACGGAACCACGACTGAGGGAAATCCAGAGACATCAGGATGGCGACAGTGTACTCCAACAGCTGAAAAAGTTCTGTGTGGACGGATGGCCAGATAAATACTCTATTGAAAAAGGTTTCCAGCCTTATCTGCCGTTTTCAGGGGAACTTACTGTCCAAAATGGTCTGCTTCTGTATGGTAGCAGAATAGTGATTCCAGCTTCTCTCAGGAAGGACATTCTATCGAAGCTGCATGAGGGTCACTTGGGGATAACTAAATGTAGAGAAAGGGCCAAACATTCAGTGTGGTGGCCAGGTCTCAGCAGTGAGCTGATTAAGCTGTTGGAGACCTGTGACACATGTTGTCGGGAGAGAACTAAACACAAAGAGCCACTACTGTCCACTGAATTTCCACAAAGACCATGGGTCATGGTGGGAGCTGATCTATTCCAGTTTAAGGACAAACAATACTTGATTGTTGTGGATTATTTTTCCAGATTCTTTGAAGTTGTAAAACTTACATCCACAACATCTGAGGGAGTGATCGAACACTGTAAGTCCATCTTTGCACGCCATGGCATACCAGAACGTCTCCGTTCTGATAATGGGCCACAGTTTGCTTCGGATTCCTTCAAAAGATTTGCACAAGAATGGGGTTTCAGTCATGAAACATCCAGCCCAAATTTCCCTCAAAGCAACGGGGAGGCTGAGAGAGCTGTCAGAACTGTCAAGAATCTCCTTAAAAAGGCGGGAGATCCGTATCTTGCTCTTATGGCCTACCGTTCAGCTCCATTAGCGAATGGATTCAGTCCAACTGAGCTTCTCATGGGAAGGAGGATAAGGACAACTGTTCCTGTTACTCAGTCGCAGCTAACGCCAAAGACGATTGATGTGGAAAAGCTGAGGACTGCGGAGAACAACTACAGGCAGAAACAAACACAAAACTACAACCGGAGGCACCGGGCACGCAACATGTCACTCCTACGTCCAGGGGCGAATGTGTGGGTGACAGATCTGCAAACCAGAGGAACAGTGGTGTCTGGAGCAGGGTCGCCTCGATCCTACATCATCGAGACACCCAGAGGCAAGCTGAGAAGGAATAGCTACCATCTTTCACACACTCCGGGAGCAGCCAAAACATCTGTTGTTACACCTGAGACTTCTGCTGTTCCACACGAGACATTACCTGAAGAAAATCTTAACAATTCTTCACACACACCGGTTCCAGATGAAGACCAGCAGGAGGATAGCCATCAGACTCCACCACATGAGAGTCGAGTTTCACTGAGGAACAGGAGACCTCCAGCCTATCTGGATGATTATATTTGTTCATAGGAACTGAGTGAGTTTTCTGCATGGGGCAGAATAATCCCCACACTCAGATAGAGGATTTGGGTAGTCCACCCCTCCCTCTTAGTAGCTAAAGTTAAATGTTATAGAGATTGCTCTGATGTTCTGAGATTGATCTATATCTTTGTTCTAATGCTGGGTCTGTGACTGGAAAGACATTTAAGTTTGTGCAATGTTAGTGTAAACTAAATAAGCAGTAATAAGTTAGTGTTCTAGCACATTCTGCTGTGGAGAAGTATTAGTAAGATACTGAGTTAATCTTGGTTATTTCACAGGATGCATCTTTCTGGTGTGTAATTTAAGTTTACATTTCTACATGTTCTTACGTAGACCCTCATAACAAATCCTATTCAGAAAGGGGGATGTAGTATCAGGCTATCTGTGCATAGGAACCTTTGTACTGTATTGTGTTGGGCGGGGGGAACAAATAAAGAGTGTACCTGCTAAGTTGAAGAGTGGTCACGCGTGCTTCTGTGTCGCCTCAACATATTGTTATATATACATATCGGAGAACAGAACAGTCCATTTCTATAAAAAGATCAACATACGCAGGAATCGGACCCGCCAGGCTCAAGAGGTTAAATAACATGCTGCTTTATTTTTTGCACATTGGTTTTGCTGCTATTTTTCACATATCCATTACAATAAAAAAAAAATTTCTGTTATTTTTATACACTTTTGTTAAGGTCCACATTTGTGTAACCACTTGGGCTATAATCTTTTGCTGCTACTGTAACAGTTTCCCCATTGTAATTAAAATACAGGGCCTATGTAGTCAGCTGGTTAAATTATCAGGATGTTGCAGGTTTTAGCTCATATTTACTTGAACTAAACACAACCATTTGGTATTTTTTTAACAAAAAAACCCTGACAGATGATTTCACAGGATTGTTTCTGTGCAGCATCACCTTAAAAATCTCATCTTCACTGCCTAATAAAGTGTACCAGAAATCTGTGCACTGCTCCATTTTCACACGCTCCCCTCTGGAGCGAGCTGGTGTGCAGTCAAAAATGCACGCTTTAAACTAATTCTGTCCCGCCTTGGGAGACGCCCAAAATATGCTTTTTTTGTTTTAAAGCCAACCTCAGCCGATTATGCATGAGAAGAAATCACTCATGTCTCACAGAGGGCCGGCACCCTGGCAGGTAGTGCACTGCTCTTGATCCGCCAGTCTCCTGTGATTTATTTATTTTTAATAGAGCGATGACTGAATACAGAAATATATCAACCTTTAATTTAATTTTACGTTTTAGAAGAATAATTCCTGTAATCAAACAGAATTGAAGCATTACTCTGGTCACACAGTAACAAGCAACACAACAATACAGTGGCAGCTATTTATAAGCTCTTGATCTGATGCAAAATCCTTCTGGCTCAGAAAGGACGTATGACACATTATGCCTGGCAGCAAAATGTCCTCCACAAATAAGAAGCTGGGCTGATTCTTCTCATGAATTTTACAGTGCAAACAGAGGAGAATTATATGAGAAAAGACCTGAAGAATCTGCTGGAATATTTTGCCTGAACAAAATGCTATCTATTCCTGTTTCTATATGTTGGAATGGGAAAATAATGTTTACAACAAATAATGTACATTAACTGCTGTGGAGCATTATAATCTAATGTCTGCTCCGTAAAGTCAGAGGGGAAAAGGCGAGCAGGTATTTGCACCATGAGTATTTCACCGACCTGCTTCGCTTTGGCTGAAGACGGCCATGGTCTGCGCGCCCACTGTGTGCATTGTGAAGGGATATTCCCTCGGTATCTGCAGGGACTCATCCTTCTCCCCTGCTGCAGTCATGGAGGCCAGCTCCTCGTTAAGACTGAAACATACCTGAGAAGGACCCAAAAAATTAAATAAAAAAACGAAACAAACAGCTCAGTCAATACACAACTGACAAGTCGTATTATCGGCTGTCTTCCTGCTTAATCAGGTCAGACATGATGCGATGAAACTTTATTGATTCCTGTGAGGAAGTTGAGTCATGAAAGAGAAAACAGAGATGGGGTGCAACATAGTGAAGAGAGGATATCAGCAGAAAACCAAAATAACAGAGCTCCACTCAGAGCCGTGCAAAAGCATTCACCCCCGTGGAAACTTACACCACATTGCATCCACAAACTTCAGTGTGTTTTATTTGATTTGATTTGCCTTCAGAAGCAGTTTTATGAGCAGATCACACTGAGAATAAATCTGGCTGTTCCATGAAGGCATCAGAGGTTGGTCAGAAATGTTGGTGAATACTCAGAACCATAACGTCAATCAGGTTGAAGTTATAAAGTAATATTTGAGGCTTGAAACATCTCACAGAGCTCTGTTCCATGCAGCATCATGAAACAGAAAGTGTATCACTAAACACCGAAGATATGCAAGTTCATCCAATCAGGTACAAACACATGTAAAAAAAACTGTTAACAGGAAAATTCTTAGTTGTTCTGATCACACAATATTAGTATGAGAAGTTTCAGTAAAACAGCAATCCAAAAGATAGAGCCAGGGCTGCATGTACATCACTAAAAATGTCCTAGTCAAAGCCTGGATCGAAATCCGAGTGAATAGATTTGTATAAAAATGTTAATAGAAGCTCTCTATCCAGTCTGCCTGTGCTTAATCTATTTATCAAAAACGTGCAAAGCTGGTCGGTCTACACCCTAAAGACTTCTAGATGTCATGGGAATCTTCACATTAGTAAGGTGGAGAGATTAGAGACAGTTAATTGTTAATTTAACCAACAGGCATTTAGCTAGACTGATGATAATCCAACAGCACATGCTCAGTTACCCCCTCCTGTACCTACAACACAGCAGACACATACCATAATTCCTTCATTGAGAACTGAATGGATATATATATAAAAAGTTATATTTCTAATGATTGCTTTTTATGTGATTGCACCACACCGTCTGTATGAACAACCTAACAGTTTTGTAATTTAAATCATCAGTTACTCTGCTTTTAACAGGCATAGACGTCATAGTGCAAAAATATTGTTTTATGGAAGCATTGCTAGTTTAATGATGGTATTAGGGTGAAGGATCATTGCAATGCACAGCTGTAACTGTCTACTTATTGATCACATTCATCTCCAAAGGCTTTATCCAAGTTGCAGAATATCCTACATTTTCTGTTTTGTTTCCTAGAATTCTACAAGACAAGAAAAGGAGAAATAGTCAAGTAAAATATTTAAATAAGCCAATAGGTTAAAAAAATGTGATGAAAAATTAGTTTTATGTGTCAATAAATTGCTGTAGCAACTGTCCCCATAGATATGGACAATCTCACTTCAACCACGTTACTTGCTTTATATCAGGATCCCAAATTATGCACCTAATGGGCTTGTAGAGCAACAACGTGAGTTAACTATGCTAAAATATGGTCATTCACAAAAAGCCAGTGAGAAATTGAGGGAAAAGTGAAAACTTTTGCAGCTGTCCCCACTCTCCCCTTCTTTTTTGTTGGTCTTTTACAAAAAGATGTATTGAAGTTTGTGGCTGTAATGTAGCTGGGAGCCAAAGACAGCAGTTCAAAAACATGTTCTGATGGTAGAAAGAAATATGAACATTTTTTAAGAAGTCTCACCTCCGTTTTACCGTGTTTTCTGTTAAAAGAGAAAAAGGATATGGATCAATGATTCTAGAATAAATTAACATGTCTGCCTTGTTCAGCAGAAGTTTGAGACAAATTAAAGGAAAACACTGAAATATTGCAATGATTGATCATCTAAATGTCTGCAGGTTTAACAGATAACGAGAAAGTAAAAGTTTTTTGATACATACTTTTCTATTGAGATCTTCCCAACTTCTCCCTTTTCTGTAGCTTTGTCCCATTGCTGAGATAAATACTTTGGAACCTAATTTAAAAAAAAACATATGTGAAAATATATTACAGTTAGTTAATTGATTTACAAATTAAGGACAATTAATCAAAAATACTTATTTAAAATTCTTAAAATTATGAATAAACACTGAAAGGGATTTTCCTTTCAGCCTTTGTGCAACAATCAAAGAAGAAACACGCATTTTTTAGCACTTCTTTGGACCTTATGTCTACTAATAGTTATCCTGCATGTGTTTAAACAAACCTTAACCAGCCACACGCCTTTACTCTGCTGGACTCCTGTTAAATTCACCTCCTTTTTGTCAGACATTGCTGTTTGTTTGATTTGCAAAGCAGCGACCTGGAAACCAGAACCAAAAGCTTCCTGCCTTTCAAATTAAAAACATTTGCTGCTAATGAGCTTAAACAGATTTAAGTGTTTGCAGTCTTAGATCACGTTCATCTCTAAAAGCAACGACAAAAAAGAGGAAATCTACAGAAAATTAGGCCATTAAAATAATGGTCACTCAAAAAAAAAAAAAAAATCAAAAATAAAATACATTTTTGAAAAATTAAAAAATTCTGAATGTATTCTCTGAATTCTAGATTTAATCTCAGAATAATGGACAGTTTTAGAATTCTGACTAATTCATTTTAGAAGTCTGACTTTGATCTCAGAAAATTCTGATTTTAATCTAAGAATTCAAAATTTAATCTTATAATTTTTAATTAATTTTAGAAGTCTGACTTTTTACCTAAGAATATACCGACTTTATTCCAAGAATTCTGAATTTAATCTCAGAATTTTTAATTCATTATAAAATTCAGATTTTTATATTAGAATATTCTACCTTTATCCCAAGAATTCTGGATTTGATCTTAGAATTCTAAATTTATTTTATAAGTCTGACTTTTCTCTCAGAATATGTAGACTTTATTCTATAAATTCTGAAATTAACTTTAGAATTCTGGATTCCTTTTAGAATTCTGACTTTTATATTGAAATATTCTGCCTTTGCTCTCAGAATTTTGTATTTAGTCTCAGAAGTCTGAATTCATTTTAAAAGTCTGACTTTTATCTCAGAATATGTTGAGCTTATTCTATGAATTCTGAATTTAATCTCAGAATTCTGAATTCATTTTAAAATTCTGACTTTTATATTGAAATATTCTGCCTTTGCTATCAGAATTCTGTATTTAGTCTCAGAATTCTAAATTCATTTTAGAAGTCTGACTTTTACCTCAAAATATGTTGACTTTATTCTATAAATTCTGAATTTGATTTCAGAATTCTGAGTTCCTTTTAGAATTCTGACTTTTATCTCAGAATATGTTGACATTAATTTAAGAATTCTGAATTTGATTACAGAATTCTGAATTCATTTTAAAATTCTGACTTTTATATTAGAATATTCTACCTTTAGTCTCAGAATTCTGCATTTAGTCTCAGAATTCTAAATTAAATTTAGAAGTCTGATTTTTATCTCAGAATATGTTGACCTTTTTCTAAGAATGCTGAATTTAATATCAGAATTCACAATTCTTTTAGAACTCTGTCTTTTATATTAGAATATTCTGCATTAATTCTAAGAATTCTGAATTTCATCTTAGATTTCTGAATTCATTTTAGAAGTCTGACTTTTACCTCAAAATATGTTGACTTTATTCTATAAATTCTGAATTTGATTTCAGAATTCTGAGTTCCTTTTAGAATTCTGACTTTTATCTCAGAATATGTTGACATTAATTTAAGAATTCTGAATTTGATTACAGAATTCTGAATTCATTTTAAAATTCTGACTTTTATATTAGAATATTCTACCTTTAGTCTCAGAATTCTGCATTTAGTCTCAGAATTCTAAATTAAATTTAGAAGTCTGATTTTTATCTCAGAATATGTTGACCTTTTTCTAAGAATGCTGAATTTAATATCAGAATTCACAATTCTTTTAGAACTCTGTCTTTTATATTAGAATATTCTGCATTAATTCTAAGAATTCTGAATTTCATCTTAGATTTCTGAATTCATTTTAAAAGTCTGACTTTTATCTTAGAATATGTTGACCTTATTGTAAGAATTCTGAATTTAACCTCAGAATTCTGAATTCATTTTAAAATTCGGACTTTTATATTAGAATATTCTGCCTTTACTCTCAGGATTTTGCATTTAGTCTCAGGAATTAATTTTAGAAGTCTGATTTTTATCTCATAATAATTCTCATGACTGTTTGTATTATTCCCTCTTAACTGAAGTGATACCCCTGGGATTTAGCGGTAAAGTAATTTGACTTTTTATTCTGACATTAAAAGTCAGATTTTGTTGTTGTTTGTTGGCCCTTATACTCTTGAATCGTTAAAATTAGAGCATAATCAAGGACAAACATAATATCATCAGACTACAGGCCAACAACTACAAATAAAATGTTTTATCCTAGTAAAACTAAGTCAATTAACTTTTTTAAATAAAAGGCTGTGGAATTAGAAACAACCCTCATAGCTTTAAATCTCTTGCCATATTAACACCCACAGTTAACAAAATAAAACATTGATTTTAGACTCAGCCACAGTAGTGCATCGTCTCTTAAGTCTCTGAAGACCTCTGAATCACAGCTTCACTCTCAGGTTGGTTCTTAAGAGCCAAAAGAAGCTGTTGACTATGATTGCAAGGCTGCTGAAGCCCAGAGTCCAGCAATGCTTTTAGAATTGGTACAGTTTGTGGGTGGCTCTCTTTGGCCCATCATTTTCCTCATCATCATGTTTTATCACTTTCAGTTATAATAAAACACTAAAGTTTGGCTGGAAAGGAGTGTAAAAACCTTTAAAACAAGGAATGCATTTGCAAGCTCTGAGCTCTATTTGATGCAAACTATGAAAAGTTTGATGCTAGTGAGTCTAAATATGTTTTTAGAACATATCTCTATTGTTGCTCCTGCACCCACCATTCCTACTCAGATGATATCCATTTTGGCCTGGAGATCAACCTAGCTTTGCAGTCATTTACAACATTGATGTGAGGGTGGCTTGAATATAATCACTGCAAATTCCAGTCAAACAAATTAAAGATGAATGCAGGGAGAGTCGTTGGCGTGTGCATTAGCATTTTGACCTATGATGCATACACTGATTGATTTGTTTTGTTGTGTCTGGATTCTTCTGGAGCAGTTTTTATATTTGTCATAACTATTGAGTAAAACATTTAACCAAGTATTGGTGCAGACAGACAGATGGGAAAAGGGAAAAGCTTTTGAGAATTTAAATCGGGACAGTGAAGCCCAGAAAGCAGATGAAAGATAATAAAGACAGGAACACACCAAGTAAGAAATAGACATATTGCATTGTAGACTCAAAGATTTCATTGCCTTTTTATTCTCATTTACTCTGCAATGCAAAGAAGAGAGGTAATGGTGACAGTTATAAGAAAACAATTTTACCTCAGACTAAGGCATTCTGTTGGGACAATAAAGAGCTTTATAGAATAACTCATAACATAATAAATCTTAACTTTGCCTTTCAAAGCCTTATTTGCAGGATTTTTTTAACTGTAAATCTGGGATTTAAAGAATGCAAGTAAAGAGCAGTTGAAATTGAAGGCATGGCATATTTATTTTACGGTCAGCAGAACACTTTTCTGGGAATTTTAAAGTATCCTAGTAGAGAAGATTTGGAAAAGGAAACTGGGCAACCTTTTTCTATAATAGAGGGGTCACACATGTCAGAGTACTTAATTCTAAGGTGATGGAAAGGCTGATCTCACCATCTAACCTCTGATTCAGAAGGAGCAGGGCAGCTTTGTTCTTGGACATGGATGGGTAAACCAGGGCCTGCATCCTCAGACTACAAGTAGCTCCTCAGTGATGTGACGTTACAGACAATCGTAGAATCCCTGAAACTCTAAAATCATGTATACTTTCTTTAACAGTCATACAATGATTAATATAGAGATTAACTCTTTTCTCCCCACTGAGGGAACATTTAATATTGGATTCTTAATGAAAAACATAAAGCAAAAAAAAACAGAAAAGGTAGGAAACAAATACAATAAGAAAATAAACATCTAGACAAGAAAAAGTACATTTCAATTTGGATAAAATGCATGGCTTAGTCAGAATCTGGTCCAAAGACTATAATGTATGTCTTATCTGAATTGAAAAGCAAAAAATAGATGTGTTAACTATAAAATACAAGCCTTTAATCTGTCTAAGTGGTTAGATTTGCTAGGAAATATGGACAAAGAGAATCAGCCCTAACACTGAACCTTGTGGAACTCCAAAGGTAACCATGAAGTTTGAGATTCGTCATAAAAATGAACAAGCTGAAATCTGTCAGATTAATTAACTAGAAAAGCACTCAGAGAGCACAGACCTCTGCCAAATAGCTGATTTCCCCAAACGTATTGTCACTTCAACCTTAAATAATTATCTGTATTCACAGAATCTTTCATAACATTCCTGCATCCAGATTATGATATGGATTATCACCTAAATGTAATGGAATGTGCATTGGATTGAGGTGCACCTTTGCTAAAAAAATCATAAAAATATAATTTTGGGGTTATCCTGTACACAGAAAGACAAACAAACTCTCATAAAAACATATTCTCCTTGGTGAAGGTAACAAGCTTGCACACAAGACTCAGCTTCTGCAGTATAGGCTCAATTAAGACAGACTAAAATATGCTAGAACAGAATGGAGATTATAAACATGTTCTTCTGTCAGATAAAAAAAAAAGGATTAACTAATGTAAAAAAAAAACTAATAAGATAAACTACACCTCTTTGAACGTTTTGTTTAAATGGCAGAAAAAGGGGGAGAGTTATAAAAGTTGTATCAATAAAATGGATCAGGAATAATAATAATAAATAATTTTAAAACAGACATTGCAGAGGGAAACTAATAATTCAGATCTTGATTCATCTGTGACATTAATCCTACCTGTTTAATAACCAAGCCTAATGAAATGTAAAATATTTCATAACAGGTGTGACTCAGGTGAATCCTGAGCATTATGTGTGAAAAATGATAAAGATCGGGTCACTGAATGTATTCATGAGCTTTATTTTATTCTATTTTTTGACAGAAACCTTCATTGCGCAGCTCACAGCCGGCTTTTTGACGCCGCTGACGTAGAGGTGGTGGGAAACCAGCTATATGTGGGAGGCATTAGGATGCCAGGTGTTAACACATGGACTGAGAGCCGTCCACATGGACACATAATTACATCAGTGTTTGAAAGACACTTCTAAACCAAAAGGTTTTATTTCAGTTCTTAGCACAAAACCCCCTTAAAACTCAAAACAAAGCAACATATGAGCATGTTAGATGTTTTAGTAC